TTTTGTTCAACTCGTACCGCGCCTACCACCCCCGTACGTAGAAGGTACAGAGCACGACGTCTTGTGCTGCGGGAGAAAGAAGGAATTGGATTTGTGGTTTTTTTTTGGAGGGAGGAAAGAGTTGTAGGGCAAGAGAATCGTGGAGTGAATGAGACGAAGATGTCTGGCCAGAATTAGCGCACACATTGCACGGTTATTGAACTCAGCCAGTGTCTGTAGCGAATTTGAAAAATACCTTTTGGTGGTGAGCCACACGTTAACACGCCTTGGCGTTACCCAACTATGAGGCTAAAACATACTTTACGTGTCGACCAAAGTATAGAGGGGCCCATGCAGTGACAGCAGTGACTTGGGCGCCTTGGTGGTGAGATGTTAAATACCTTGTCTGGTATACAGGAGGCCATGGGTTCAATCCCGAGCCTGATGTCTGTACATTTGGAGTTTTCGTCTCTCTCCCCATGTTCGTGTAGATTGTTCTGTATGTCCTCCGAATTTTCCCTCTACCTTTAGAAACATGCGTTTTCGAGTACTGTATTTGGCTCCGATACATGTGCACACGATAAGCCACTTCGTTGAGCTTTCCTGTTTAAAATTAGAAATAATTGTAAAAGTAGTTTGAGAATTGGCGTGCTAACATCAAACACCGCATTATTCCCAGGTTAAAATACCCCCCCCCTCTCTCTAGTACATGATTAGTGCAGCTACGATGGTTAGCAGTGACGGACAACATCTTTTGTGGGCAGCCGCCCTCATTAATTGCCTACAGTGTAAACCACAATATCACGAAATGTCCGTGGTAAAAGCATTTTGTCTCGTTTCCATTTATCCGTTGAAGGCGTGCATATACACGCTCCTAGTTTGCCTACAAAGATGACGAGAGGACAGCATGTTTGAACAAGATTTAAATACTGTAAGTCTATTTGACGAAGCACGTGTATGTTCATCCGTCTGTCTACCTGTGTGTTTGTGTGTGTGTGTAAAATATATTGTGGTTGGCACCGTCATTACAGCTCCACACGCACTGCCAAGCCTGGAAACTCGAGCTCGATTTCCGGCCACGGCTCTAACATCAGTGGCGAGCGATATGGAGAACCGGTCCTGGGCCATCGCTAGATTTATACGGCACTAAGGGGCCGTCCATAAATGACGTCACGCACCTGGGGGGGGGGGGTCAGAGATTTGTGATGATGTGTGACGGGGTGGGGGGTTTGAGAAATGTGACGTCACATCAAAATGCGCAACTTTAAATAAATATAGACAATACGTTCTACTTAATTAAATAGACGTTTTAATACATGTTTTCTCCTACAACATCAGAGTGCAGTTCCACTCTAAATACGCATTACAATGACAGTAGTTTAAATCGATTTGAAGCATTTTTTATTTTCAAAATGGAAATATGGTTTTGGGGGGGGGGGAGGCAGAGCTTTGTGACGTCATATTTGAGGGGGGGGGTCTGACTTTTTGTGACGCCGTGTGACGAGTGGGGGGGGGGGGGGGTCATAAATCGGCCAAAATCGCGTGACGTCATTTATGGACGGCCCCTAATCAAATACCCGATGCGAGGTGTGAGTGGGTGCGACGGTGCTCGCTAAAAGCCCATGCATTCAACGTCTGCACCCCCATTCTATGTAGGTAAACAACAAATGGATGTTTATCGCCTAGTCTCTATGTTTTGCGTTACCGTACCCTCAGTCGTGTTTTATGCGGGCCACCCTCCATTGCCTTGGATAATTGACAGAGACAGCTTTTTTTTTAAATCCTTTATATTAAGTTCGCTTGCTTGCTTGTGTAGGGGTGTTAGAGAGAGAGCCGTTATGCATGGCAGCTTATGGGAAACAAACACAGTGATGTAGGGGTGTTAGAGAGAGAGCCGTTATGCATGGCAGCTTATGGGAAACAAACACAGTGGGCGGGGCTACGTGAGTGCACGGGGGGGTGCTCTCAACGACGTCCGCACCGGGCAGCCCGGGGCCCCACCCCTCAGCGGGGGTTGAGTATAAAAGGGGATGTGTCAGAGGGCTCGGGGAGAAATGTTAAGCTAACAAGTGAAGACAGAAGATCATCATAGTTAGAGCCCTGGACTCCCCTGGATCGCCGCCCTTATCAGGGCCACACGGGATCAGGGTCGAGCCAGTGGCGTGGTCCCGAGAGCCAGAGCTGGCGCTCTTGTCAGAGCTGGTCTGGGACTCCGGGTGCCGTAAGCCCGACTTACCAGTGTCGGGCTAGTTAGCCTCCTCTAGCCCGTTAGTGGAGGACCCAGAGGTAGGCTAGGTATAGCTAGGGAGTGTATCCCCAGTTAGACGGGTGAGGGGGCCGATACCCCCTCGAGTGTTATATGCCCACTGTTGTGCTGTGAAATAAATACGTGTGCCTCCAACCTCGGTGTCAAGAGTCTTCAACGCTATTACACTTGCGTGCTTGCGTGCTTGCTTGCTTGCTTACGACCGTGCAAATCTTTCGGTCGTTTTTTAACCCACTTCCCGTGATCCAATTGAGCTGACATTTTGCACACAGACTCGTTGTGCGAGACAATTAATGTTCGTGAAAATTTTTTTCCTAAATTTTACACTGTTTAGGGAAAACTAATTAAATATTTAATTACCAATTGCTTAATACTGGCAGGCAATCATCTGACCCATAGGTGGCAGCCATCTCAAGCCAGAGGACGAGAGGACTCTAGCCGCCACGCATATAAAGGATTTATAGTGAAAAACTTTGTTTTTACGGGTTATACTTATTTAGAGCCTAGTCCAGGGGTCGGCAACCTACGGCTCTGGAGCCGCATGCGGCTCTTTACGGGCTGCTTCTTGACGCTATGTACGTATGTACAGTATGTACTCAGATGCATTGCGGCTCTTGAAATACTGAATTTTGTACCGAATTGGAAAGAAATGGCTCTTCTTGTTATTTTGGTTGCCGACCCCTGGCCTAGTCGAACACCATATGAGACTAGGCTCTAAGAAAAGCTGTCTCTGGTGTGGACCAATCAGTTTCAAGTACAATGCATACATTATCAGAGTATTGTTTTTTGTTTGCATTTGACTGCAAGCATTGTGGTTAATGTAAACATGATTCCTTGCAAAAGGTGTCGGTTTTGTTGCCAGAAAAAAGGGGAAAACCCCTATTAGTACATCCAGAACATGTGCACATAAGAGATTTACGTGTAGTACATGTTTACACACCGTGAGCATTATAACAAGGTGAGCGTTCACTGCAGTCAAGGTCTCTGTTTCTCAGAGAAACTTGGAGTGCAATTAAAGGATATACCATACAGACATATTTCATTGGAAAATAAAAAACACAAATATCATAAATACAAGGATTAGACGCGAAACGAATGTACAAATGACACACGAAACCGTAACAACTACCATCAGTGGTATTTGGCGTTTTCATTTGAGACTGGGATTTGAGTTATAGCTCATTCAGTCGCCCAATTTGGACCATTGGCTCATGATGGGAGGTGGGGGGCATTGACGACGGGGGGGGGGGGGGGTGACATGAACGCTGAAGCCAATGCCCCACCCACTTGTGGTATATGAACTCATGGCGAGACGACGGACAACGCTGGCGAGATGTTAACTCCCTCGCCTGGCATGCAGGAGGTCGTGGGTTTGATTCTGACCGTGACGACTGTATATTTGGAATTTGCACATCTCTCTCTCTCTCCCTGTGGTCGTATGGATTTTTATCCGGACCCTCCGGTTTATCACTCCACATTGAAAAAGATGCGCTTAGAATATTTGGCTGCCATAAATTTCCACGTTTACAAGCCACTTTGTTGGGCTATCGCTTGTGACCAGATCGCTTCTGAACAAGTATAACCCGTAAAAACAAAGTTTTTCACTATAAATCCTTTATATGCGTGGCGGTTAGAGTCCTTTCGTCCTCTGGCTTGAGATGGCTGCAACTTATGGGTCAGATGATTGCATTGCACCATTAAGCAATTGGTAATTAAATATAATTTTTTGTCCTAAAAAGTGTAACATTTTGGAAAAAACGAACATTAATTGTCACGCACAACGAGTCTGTGTGGAAAATGTCAGCTCGATTGGATCACGGGAAGTGGGTTAAAAAACGACCGAAAGATTTGCACGGTCGTAAGCAAGCACGCAAGCACGCAAGCAAGTGAACTTAATATAAAGGATTTAAAAAGAGCTTCATATCTCAGTGGGCCTTACCTGGTGAAAAAAAAGTTAAGTTTAGTAGTTATGGATGTATAAAGGGAGACAATGAGGCATGAGTGCCGTAGACAATATGGAGATGAGACGGATTAATTGCCTTCCATAACGATTGGTTTGCAATGTACAGTATATCAGAATCTGAAATATGAACCGATAATTAGTGGATACCTTATTTAAACTCTGGTCATCATTGCAGCATTTGGCTAACCATCGCACAAAGAAGCATCGTGCACTTTCAGCTACGCTTCTGTGGCCGTCTGGAACGCTCTTCTTTTCGACATTAGGAAGCCGCTGGAGCTATACACTTTCAAATCTCGATTTCAAAACTAATTTCTTTAGAACTGCTTTTTGTGTTTAGTTTGTCCTTCCTCCACACCTGATGAGCATGGTCAGATACGTAGAGTGCAAAAGAAGTTACACATGCAATGCATCTCTGCACATAGTATTTACTGTGTATATTTCCCTTGCTTAATGCGATAGTAATAGTAGATGCATTCATACATAAGGAGCACACAAAGCAAAACCGCATGAGGAGACGGCTACCTGCCAAGTAGCTCGCACATACACGGTACACACACACAACGTTGTCCCACGTCCGACCGCATAGCTGCATGTAGACTGAATTCAAACCACCTCGTAGAGCGAATTTTGGGTAGAAATCGTTTAGCCGCGTATACAGCGCGAAATCGCATAAGATGAACTCCCATCTAGCCAGGGAGGCCTGTATACATTCGTCTCATAAATCCGGGTCTTCTTGATCTGAGCACTAACCATCTCCATCGTCCGCTCTGCTGCCCTTCCCAACCCGCGCAGGAACGACAGCGACGATGACGACGATGACGAAGCACGCCGCGGGAGCCGTCCGCTTTCCTCCGCTGTCGCTCCTGCTGCCCGCGCTGCTGCTGCTGCTGCTGCCGCTGTCACCGGGACCGGGGGGCGTCGCGACGGCGGCGAAGGTTGCCGTCATCCCGCCCATCATGTTCGAGAGCCACCTGTACATCTTCCAGCGGCTGGCAGGCGAGCTGCACGCGCGCGGCCACGACGTCGTCTTTGTGGTCTCGGAGGGCCGCGAGCTGCCGCCCTCCCCGCACGTGCGGCTCCACCGCTACCGGGGCCTCTTCTCGTCGCGCCAAGCCGACGAATTCCTCCAGGAGAAGGTCGGCTTCTGCCCTCGCTGCCCTCTGCTCCACCCTAGCAATAACCCCTGGCCACCCTCACCAACTCTCCCTCTTCCTCCCACCTCCCTCCCTCTCCCTCCCGTGTTAACGTCTTTCAGGGTAATTTCCTGCTTCTCAAATGTGCATCGAGGCATTTGCTCATCTCCGTTTCACAGCCCTGAGCCAGTGTTGCCGAGTCGCACGTATATGGCCAAGCCATAATTCGGGTGTTGAAGGCTCGTCTGTGCGGTTCTACCCATGGATGTGGTAGCGACTGGCATGTAGGGCATCCAAGACGTGGGTTTCTTGGAGCGTCGGGACATCAAGGCTATGGGTTTTCAAGTGGTGCCATGTTCCGCTTGCTTACAGTCATAGGATAGCCGCTGTTAAAGTGGTCCTGGTTATATCGACCCATGGGGGGGGAGGGATGATTGGCTTAGTCGAACCCCCTACCCCAACCAGGATTTGAACTCTCGTAACCTTGCCATTGTGAGCCGCTCGCTCTATCACTGGGTCACCTGAACATGAGACATCAGAGAGTCAAAAGATTTAAGTTCAAGGTAAAACGTTCAGGGGCTACCTTGTAATTGCAGGCAACAGCTGGTGGAGGAAGTTCTAGAGAGCTCCTCCCCAGATGGTACTTTGGTCTACTCTTCCACGCTGGCTGGATGCCTTGCAAGAGGTTGGAGTGCCCACACTTTACCCCGTCATATCGGACGGATCGATCAATGTTATGCTGCTAGGTGAACAGAGGTGGAGGAATCAAGGCAGTTGTTCATTCTTTTCACTGTCATGTTGGGAGAATCAATTGCAGTGGCTTTTGGCAGCTGTCTGGAATGCTCTTCCTTCCGATATTAGGAAGCCACTGTAGCTATGTACTTTTAAATCATAGATTGAAAACCCATTTCTTCAGAACTGCTTTTTGTGTTTAGTTTGTCCTTCCCCCCACACCTCCGATGAACATGGTTCGCTATGTACAGAGAAGCCCAACATGCATACGTACATACAAACAGTTAAAACTGGCGACCTTTTTAGGTTTGAGTTAAAATCTATTTGTAACTCTCCACCACGGATTTTTCAACGAGGGCTGATCATGGCTCGTGGTTGAGACGCACAGCGGAATGGCAGGCAAAGCAGGGAACACGCCCTTGAAGACCGACATCGCAATACCACGAGAGATGGTGACGGTTTTGGGAGGCCTTCATCCAGGAGTGGTTTGATCAAGTCTACCGCTGATAAACTAAACTATTTTATTTTACCAGCTAAGGTCGGCCCACTGAGCTATGTAGCTCTTTTTCAGATGAGACGTGGCCACAAATGATTGCTCAACGAAGTGGCTTATCACGTGGAAATGTATAGTAGCCAAATACCCTAAACACATGTTTTTAAAATGTAGAGGGAAAAACTGCAGGACCCTGTGAAAAATCCACACTACTATGGGGAGAGAGAGATGCAAACTCCAAATATAAAGGCATCAGGCTTGGGATCAAACCTACGACCTCCTGCATATCAGGCGAGATAGTTAACATCTCGCCACCGTGGCATCTCTAAATGCGTCGTGGTTCTTCATGAACCACTGTTCCCAGGCATTGCTACAATAAAACAGGGCAACCATTGGTCAAGATGTTCATATCAATCTTTTATAGAGATATTTCTCTAAAGAAATGTGTCACAAAATACCAACTGGGGATCACAGTCTTTTGTGGGTTTGAATCGAGCCTGAGGTGGTCGTTAGTGTTGGCAGTACGATCCCTTAACTCGAGCCGAGCAGCAGTGTTAAGATGCGGTGTGTGGTCTTGCGTTTGTCCAACACAATAGCTTTGTTGGGCGAGGGAAAGTGAGGACTTTGAATGGAATGATGCAGTGCCAAGGCTAGAGAGATATTACACTGGTCAACACACTTTTTCTGGCATAAGGTATTCCAACGGTTTTAAGGTAATTTTGGGGAGCTGATTCCAAATCTGGCATCAGTTTTTGTCTCACATCAGGTTTTTGATATATCAAATATTGCATTTTCAATTAAAACTGCAGAAGAAAAATATTAAATAAATGTGGATATCTACATAAAATAGTATTATAAACACTATCCTAAAAATACAGCACCATATTTTAACACTAAATCAGTCACTGACTCGCAACAACTTGCAATCATAAGGTGACAGAGTTAATTTCGGGTAAAATCAATGAAAATTGGGTATGCCGATAGCATAAAAATGAGATGTGATAGAGCAAATATGAGATCAGATTTGGAATCAGCACCCTAAAATTTGTCTAAAACAGCTGCAAAAGTCCAGGCCAGAATTTTTTTTTTTTTACCAGTGTTATCAATGCCTCTCAAGTATGACATTGTGGAGGTATTTGGGTTGATAACTGGGTTATTTGCACAGGGGCTGTCAATAACAAATTAACGTATCGGTGGTACACCGGCGGTGCGCGGTATAAAAAAAGCACATTTTTCACGATAATTTATTTCCCTACGATTCGCAACCCCGTGTCAGAAAATATTGTGGGGTGCGTCAAAATCGGTTCTCGTGATGTCGAAGCAGTCGGAAGACGAACGTTACGAGCGGCTGAACAAGAAGAAGCTTCACAGTCTGTTGCCGTATAGCAGCACCCAGCCCGATGACGATCGGCTGCTCCGTGTTCCAAAGACGGATTTGACTCCTTGTGCGCTAGACTTGGTCGGACGGTTCCTCGATTAATTTTCAGTCAGATACGTCCAGTTTTTTTTTTGGCAGACAGTGGCATCAGAAGATTATGACTCGCGTCGCATGTTTGAACCTAAGGCAACTTGCGATGGAGAGTCTGCAGCTCACTCAAGGGGTAACAGCGACATTGTCAGTTCGGGTCTCATCTTTACCTGGTGGGTCTACAGCAGCGCCTCGGTCGGCGGCAACAGCGATGGCTCAGGCATTTTCTTCTGGTGGAGCGTCAGCAATGGCTACGGCGTCTGTTAGGGCTTCATCATCAGCAGGAGAGTCGGCAGTTCAATCAACGGCAACTGCACGGACGCAGTTGCCGTTTGAGAACCGGTGTACCGCCAAGGCATTCAAATGTATCTATTGACAAAGTATTTACCTGCATTCCTAAGCAAGCCAGTCACTGGCTGCTTGAATACATCGCTAAACATTGCACCCACGGCTATTGTATATAACCTAGAACTGGGACTCCATATCTTCAGAGATGGAATCTCAGATACTTAACAGGATGTGTTCGTGTATGCGTAAAAGCTCACTTGGGGTGTGTGCAAGCACTCGTGATGTGTGATATATCTTGTTCTCACTGCTGCGTAGTTTTGCATACTTTTTAGTTTATTTGTTTATCTTGAATCATTAAGAACAATGGAGTATCTAATACAATCTGTGATTAGTCAAAACACCTGGCCCGTAGTGTACGCACGTTTGTACGTTGGACTTCTTTTCGCTCCATACGTAGCCAAGCGTGCTATTCAGAGGTGTAAACCGCCGGTGTCGCCACCCCCACCCACACACTTGACGATGAACCCTCGTGCCCGTAATTGCAAAGGGCCATAACGGGTGGGGATCCAGAGGTCAGCCACCAAGGGGGGAGGGCCGAAAGCCACCAGGTGATGGACGTGAAACTGCCAAGTGCAGATCTTGGGAGGGTGTGTTGCCCGCGGCTGAAGAAATCAACAGTTACGAGGCGTGGGTGGCCCCTGTCATTCCGCTGCGATGAGCTGGTTATTTTAATGAGGCCGTTTCGAAATACAACCGTGTCAATTCTCACTATCACCGGTGGTATGTTGTAATAATATTGCCACTACAATGATCATTTTAAAGCCAGCATAGTTTCCCACTGGGTCACGTGGCAGTGCCTTGCCTTGTGTTTTACAGCCGTGAGCCACTGCTGGTAATTCCACATTTTATGTCCTAGGGGCGATCAGACTGTGGAGTACTCGATGTTGTCGACTTGGGCTGTGAGATGCCAGTACTGTGATGGATTCTTGAATCTATCTGCATGACGCTTTTGGGACTTACACTCCCCATGGTTTTCTCCAGGCACTCTGTACAATACATTAATTCCTGAGTAATGTACTGTACACGTACAATCCGCTGCTGGATGAGGGCCTCCCCACACCGCACGGGCCGAGCGCGGTTATTTTACCATACTTCACCTTGCTGCTTAGTCCGGGTTAGCGATGACGGGGAGCTTAAACGTGCGAGCGTGGAGAGTACGGTACGATTGCATCTTTCTGCACTTCCTGTATTCATGGTGGTCACCTATCAAGGCACCATCCATGCTCCAAGCCTGCCGAGTTTCTGAGATCTGACCTGGATCGGCGGTGATGGTGTTGTGATGAGGGCATTGTTTAATTTGCCCATCGTTTATATTGTTTACATTGTTAATCGACCGTAACGTGGACCATAATCTGTCCCACTCGTATATTTCTCCAGTCCGGCGCAATGCAAATCGGCAAGTCAAACGAGAACCGGTCTCATTCCTTACACACACACAAAGTGCTTGCCGCAAATGAACCACAATACCTTGCTGATCTCGTCAAAGAGCGTAAACCATCATCACTATGTGAACTCCAGCCATCCTTGCAGTAGCGGTTTTTGGCTAACCATCGAACAAAGATGCACTTTTGTTGCCGTCTGGAACGCTCTTCCTTCCGACATTATGATGCCACTGGAGCTGTGCACTTCTAAATCGTCTAGATTGAAAACGAATTTCTTGAACCACTTTTTCTGTTTAGTTTGCCCCCCTCCCGCACCTCCGATTAGCACGGTCAGCAACAAACTATGCGAAATAAATTCTACGTGCATACATACATACATACATGCGTGCGTACAACCGACACAACACGGGAAATAAACAAAAAACGATGACGCCGACCGGCCCGGTTTGCTGCGCAGGTGCAAAACATCTTCTCCGGCCGGCTGACGTCGCTGCAGCTGCTCTCCATCCTGGAGCAGTACGAGCGCAACTGCGACGTCATGGTGGGCGACCGTGACCTGCGGCGACGTCTCGAGGCCGAGCGCTTCGACCTGCTGCTCATTGACCCCAACGAGATGTGCGGCTTCGTGTGGGCCCACCTGCTGGGCGTGCGCTACGCCGTCCTCTCCACGGGACTCTGGTTCCCGGCCGAGATCGGAGCGCCTGCCCCGCTCGCGTACGTCCCCGAGTTCAACTCGGAGCTCACCGACGACATGGGCACGCTGGAGCGCGCTCGCAACGCCGTCGTTTACGCCATGAGCCGCCTGGGCACGCACTGGCTCATCCTGCCGCGCTTCGACGCCGTCATCCGCAAGCACTGGCAAAGCGGCGGTGAGCGGAGGACGGAGAAGGGGGAGACGGCGGCGGCGGTGGCGCCGATGCCGATGGCGCAGATTATCGCCGGGACGGACTTCTGGATGCTGTGCACGGACGCGGCGCTGGAGTTCCCGAGGCCCACGCTCCCGCACGTGGCCTATGTCGGGGGAGTGCTCACGAAACCTGCGGCGCCGCTGCCCACGGTGAGCCCTCGGTTTGACTTTATGGGTGACTGGCGATTTTGAGAGGCGTTGTCGATTTTTTTGTGTGCAAGGGGAGGAAGCTGATCGGTGAGTTTGAGAGTCTCGATTTAAAGCTTTCGTGACTGCAGGGATTCATCTTCTTGGTTCTTTCGGTAAAGTCACGTAGAAGGGAAATAATAAAATAATAAAAATTACACATAATAAAATAATTCTCACGACGTTTCGGCCACAATGCAAGGAGGACGCAAGGAGGACGGCTGCTTGCGTTGTGGCCGAAACGTCGTGAGAATTATTTTATTATGTTTTATTGTTATTAGTTCATTATTTCCCTTCTACGTGACTTTACCGAAAGAACCAAGAAGTTTCAGAGTCGTCGCACGTTTGTGTGCATGTTATTGTGTGTCTGATTGTTTTTGGGGAGCGGTGGTGCAGCGGATAGCACGCTCCGCTACAAACCCGGTGACCTGCGGTTGTTTCCCCGTCATGGTCAACAATGGTGACGATCATCTGAACCGGTCCTGGGCCTCCCCTAAGTTGACTCGGCCTCAAACGGGTACCTGATATGGTGTGTAGACATCACCACTCGGTAGACAAAGGTGACATGGCGTGGTGCTGGCCACCCACCCCCTCATGTACCATGCCAGCCTTCATAGGTGCTCGCTAACAGCACTTGCCCCAACAGTCTGTTAAGACTACAGGAAGGGGATATTTGATATGTCTTTGTGCATGTGTGCACACATGTGGACACATGTGTCTGTGTGCACACATGTGCCTATGTGCACGTGTCTTGCAAACATGTGCTTATATCTGTGTGTGTGTGTGTGCGCATTCAGGACCTGGCGAGCTGGGCAGACGCCGCAGGTGAGGTGGGATTCGTGATCGTCTCGTTCGGAGCGGGAGTCAAGTACCTGTCGGAGGAGCTCTCACTCAAGCTCGCCGGAGCCTTCGCTCGTCTGCCCCACAAGGTGCTCTGGAGGTAAATTCCATCCCCTCCCCCACCGAGACCACTCCCAACATCTCTACCGCTATCACCGTCACTACCTCCAGTATCACGACTGCTATCATCATCACCACCACCAGTATCACCATCGATGCTACTTTTGTTTCTACCAATGTCACTAATACTGTCACCACCACAACCAGCGCAACTACCAACACTAACATCGCTGTATTTGTTTTATGAATATGTACTGCTGTGTGCTACATGAATACGTGGCTTAGTTAATTATTCATGCATTCGTAGAGTGATATTTTATTGCATATACTGGACCCAACTGTGTGTGAGTGTGTGTGTGTGTCTAAGCGAAGCGACTGAAGGTCGACCAGAATAAAAATCGTAAGATAAAGATGCGGACGAAAGTAGGTTGGAGTGTTTTTGGAAATCTGAATTTAATATTGAAGAGCAACTTGTCAATGTGCCTAAAGCCAAATTTTATTATCAATGTGTACTCCCTGCCATGACATGGATCAGAAAACCCGGTTATTGACAACAACATTGAAAAGTGATCAATGGAGGATGGCAAATTGCATGCTTGGCCTTGCATTTGAGAGACGGGAAGACTTGATTCAACCTTCTTGGTTCTTTCGGTAAAGTCACGTAGAATGGAAATAATAAAAGGCGCCCTTCCCCCCTCCATCCCAGCTTAAATAGTCGCTCCAAGCCTGGAGTGTGTCATTCAGACTGTCTTCTCGACAGACCTGTTCTTCACCTGAGGACGGCTGCTTGCGTTGTGGCCGAAACGTCGTGAGAATTATTTAATTATGTAAATTTTTTATTATTTTATTATTTCCATTCTACGTGACTTTACCGAAAGAACCAAGAAGATGAATCCCTGCAGTCACGAAAGCTTTAAATCTAAATTTTATTCAAACCGTTAAGAGAAGTAAAGTGTACTTGGCAGTACACATCCTTAGAAGGAACGATGACAAGTGGTCAAGTTCATTTAGTTGAACCGGGTGAGAACTCAAGAGACCAGGAGAGTAACTTGCATTTGTCTGTTAGTCGGAGTCGATGTTGCTACGTGTATATTCCCAATGGAGTAATTTGCGATGTTACTGTAATTATCGTATTTGTTCAAATTGGCCTCTGACGCCAGCATGCAAAATTCCCCACTCTTGCCAAAGACATCAGGAAATCTTTAATGGCCACTGAAGCAGACTGTGCGGCATTATGATGGTTATTACTCCCGCAGTAATAATCAAGTCAGGAATAATGACCAAGTGGAAGCCAAGGAATGGAATGCGTTAGGGAGGATGTCGACCGAGGAAATGGCGCAATGGAATTGGCTCGCGTGTGCAGGTGCTTGGTGGATTATTACATCACAGGATCGTGAGAGGTGGCATCAGCCTAGAGAAGCATTTATCCAGCAGTGGATTGACCATGGCTGCTGGTGTTGATGAAGAGCCATTAAATTGACTGCGTGGCCAAACACCGTTCAAAATAAATGTTGCGAATTCGAAACCGATGCAGTTTTATTGTGTTTTTTAAGGATGCAATGTGTCAACGCGGTGGGCGCATGTGTGAATGTTTGTGCAGATATTTTGGGGAGAAGCCACACAACCTGGGCAACAACACGCGCCTTGTGGAGTGGCTGCCGCAGAACGACTTACTCGGTGAGTTGCGTGTCGAGGCTGTGTTTGTGGCCTGGCTGGAGACGGTTCACATTTAAAAACCCAACGTGTTTTACGTTGCTCTGCACGCTTCTTCTTATCCTTCAAGCGCAGGGGTCGGCAGTCACAGCAGGTATACAACAGATTACATTTTCTGACATAGATGAACAAAATAGTTGATGGAATAAACTGCGTCTTTCGTTTTTGTCCCCCTTAGTTATTCTTCAACAATGCTGTTTGACTGTTTTATAGTTTGTCATCACCAAGGCATGCTTTAGTAACCCATTTCCTGCCATATTTAATAAATTGCTAATTATCTTTGCGTTTAAAATAATGTTTAAGATTATTTAAGGTTTCTTTAAAAAAACTAAACGGCTGCCCGCAAGAGGGCAGCCAAAGAGGGCACCGCGCGCGGCTCCAGAGCCGCAGCTCGCCAACCTCTGCTCTGGCGCGTGGCAGCTACGTGTGATTTTATGTCCAGGTTTAATTTTGTGAGCCATGCGACGATGGCTTTGGGCAGGCCGAGCAGAACGATGTGGCCCATCGCGTGGTTCGGGTGGCCGCAGTCGCTGCTCTGTGGGTCTCCCATTTCTATAGGGTGCTTGCGCACCCTATAGCGAGCGGTCAACGGAGGAGCCGCCACAGTGGCGAGATGTGTTAACTGCATTGCCTGGTATACAGAATGTCGTGGGTTCTATCCGGTATATTTGGAGATGGCATGTTCTCTCTGTGATCGTGTGGATTTTTCCACTGGCTCTTCCGGTTTTCCCCTCCATTTATAAACAAGCGTTTAGAGTATTTGGCTGATATATAAATGTCCACCTGATAAGCCACTTCACTAAGCTATCATTTGTGGTCGGGTCGTTTCTGAAAAAGAGCTGTATAGTTTAGTGGGCTTTACCTGGTAAAATAAATAAAAAATTGGTCAGTTTTCTTGGTAGAACGGAGCCATGCAAAGCAGTGGTGGGGGCCTCAATGAGGCTTTGACTAGGAGCCTTGGCAGAACTCTATGGTAGAGTTTACCAGCGGTCTTCAGTTAACCCCGGATGCTGTTACGGTCGGTGACGGTGAAGTGGCATTACCATCTTTGATCTGATGCAAACATTTACACATCTCATTGCAGGAAGATGGTCTATACACGTGTTTAAAATATAGATTTATTTTTTACTAACAGAACTATTTGTGGCTTTACAATTTGTTTGAATCCGCATTCGGTACACAACACCATAAATCTTGTGGCCGTCAGAAAACTGGTTGGACGTTTTGAATGCTAGAGTCCTGTTTTTTTTTTATATATCAGAGTTGCCAAGCCCAGACCCAGAGGCCCAGAATGCCAATTGGCCAACACCAAACGGCACCATTTGAAGAAGTAATAATAGTAGTTGATAGGTGTCTTGCATTGAGCGAGGGTTCTAAAAACTTTGCGACGGTCACTGTACGTAGGACAATGAACTAAACACAACGAGCAGTTCTAAATAAACAAGTTTTCAATCTAGATTTGAAAGTGCATAGCGTGGTGGGTCGCTGGGACTGGAGTTTGGGTAACCCTGCTAAAGTCATTCCATGTAATCTGCCATCTGTTACCCTGGCACTGCATTCCTATAAACAAACACCACAGCCAATATTTATGTTTTAGGAGTAAGATGGCATTAGCTGCTGCCTTTCCCATTGTATCTCAGCAGAGTGTGGTGTGGCATGTGTGCCCATCCGTGTGTGAGTATACAGCTCTCGTGTGCAGTACGTGTGTGTGTGTGTGTACCCAGGTTGTTTTTAGGCATAATGCAGTAAACGCATGAGTGTTGCAACCGAGCAGCACTGTGACAAATGGGTGTTTACGGGCTTACGTTTTGTTTGTCCGTATTCAACTCCACACGCTCACCACACAGCCATGTTTGTGCGTGCCCTTGTGCAACAACGCTGCACAAATAGGCAGCACAAAAAGCTGGGAGTTATGTCACCTAGCAAACCATGCATCACCACTTGTTGACCGTTACTGCAAGGGATATACATTTTCAAACATTTTCTTCACTCACATTTACAACGTACGTTGAAAATTCCGACAATAAGCATGCGGTCCGGCGTTCCAGGTCATGCACGTCCTTATTTAACAAGCCTATTGTTGGGATTTTTCTGGGTTGGCCATTCTTTTCTTAAAATAAACGTGCGATTTTGGGGGGGGGGTGGGTGGGGGAAAAGAGGATCGTGCGTAGTTTTTTTAATTGTGTTTAGTTTGTCCTTCCCATGCACCTCTCATAAGCATGGTTGACTATTTAACACGTAAGGCTTTCGCGACCAATATTATTCATAATAAACGATTTTGGGTTAGATCGCGTTATTTATAAATGTGTCGTAACCCTCCACCACCCGACACGGCCAATCAGCAAAAAGTGTCACGTTGACAAAAGACAAATAGTTCATTACTTTAGCAAATTGCCCGATGATGCTGGATGTAATTACCAGCGAAACGTCGTACTCAAAAATTGAAAATGTTGGGGATTCACTCTTCAACACACCGGTGGGCTAAAGTAGTGAACTATTTGTCTTTTGTCAACGTGACACTTTTTTGCTGATTGGCCGTTTCGGGTGGTGGAGGGTTACGACACGTTTATAAATAACGCGATCTAACCCAAAAACTTTATTATGAATGTTTGACTATGTATGGTGCGAAAGAAGTTCTCGTGGGCCCGAACGCCATCACGAAACCCTGCAAGCACTCGCACGGCATCTTTGCTTGCGCCGTCTGACTCTGACTAGCGTCTCGTCGCTGTTCCCCGCTCGCTTGCTCACTCGCTCTCGCTTCCAGGCCACGCGGGCGTGCGAGCCTTCGTGACCCATGGCGGCCTGAACGGCGTGTACGAGGCGGTGTACCACGGCGTGCCCGTCGTCGGCATGCCGCTGTTCGGCGACCACTACGACACCATGACACGTGTGCATGCCAAGGGAATGGGACTCAAGATGCACTGGGACCGCATGACGCAGGACGACCTCTACAACGCCATCGTTGACGTCACCTCGGTGCCCAGGTGAGGGGTGTGGGGCAGGAGGTAGGAGGGAAGGAGGGACAGGAGAGACGTTGACGACTGGGGCAAGTTGGCTCAACTGTGGCCAACCCATGGGTTGCCTTTCAGGGGGGGGTGCAAGCTGTGGCTTTTGATACCGTGCCGGAAGAAAAACTAAAATTTTAAAGTGTTCGTATCGGTACTGAGGCGTGTGGCACAGCATGGCGCCAGCTATCAGCGTACAGCCATGTTGCTATAGTTCTCTGCGGTAAGTACATTGCCTTTTAAAACAACGGTGCTACTACGCCTCTCTAAATAAAATTAACGTTGAACCGATTTGCGTGTTCCGAGATTTGGCGATGAATGGGACACCCACCCTGCAACTTGCAGTTGTCTTTGAATGGGAAGGTGTCTCGATTCGTGGCTCCCTGTACCAAAGATCTTGAGAACCACCAGATTGGCCAGGAGGTTTATAATCGGTGCATTTTGAGAATGGTTGCAATTTGTTTCGGCTTTGTGTTTTGAATTCCGAGTGATTTTCTCATTCAAACAAAAACACAGACTCGATAACGGACATATGGACATCATCGTAACACAGTTTGAGCACAGCAGCTGCCCTGATGTAATACTGCCGTTGTATTAACCTTACAATGGGTGCTGTCTGCTTCAGAGTAAGGACGTTAAAATCGTGTTCCATTGTTCGAAGATGTGTAAGCCATGTCTGCCGTGTCGCGGTCCAAATTTGGCCTATTACTTAATCGTGAAGCCCATAGAGCAACGTCGCCTCAATTCTAGATTTGAAGCTTTCGTGACTGCAAGGATTCATACTCTTAGTTTTTTTCGGTAAAGTCACGTAGGTAAAAAATAAAATTAAAAACTTCTTGTCTCGTTGTTTGTTAAAAACTCTAATGTCTGTTAGAGTGTTTAACAGACGAGACAAGAAGTTATTAATTTAAATTTTATTTTTTTACCTACGTGACTTTACCGAAAAAACCTAAGAGTACAACGTCGCCTTCTTCTGGCAGAGCGATGCCCACTCACAGGCCGGTGCTGAATTTGCCTTGTGTGTCACCAGGACAGCGCCACGAAATACACTAACATGGCTAGTGCGGTATCAACATTAAGCAGCGATGATGATGTCACTTACATCTGTCTTTCTCTCCCACACCGCCGCAGTTACCGTGAGCGTGCACAGGTGCTCTCCCACATCCACCGCGACTACCCGGAGCACCCGGTGAACCGCACCGTCTACTGGGTGGAGTACGTGATCCGGCACGGTGGGGCCCCGCACCTGCGCGCGCGCCTCTACGCGTTCTCGACGCCCACCTACTGGCTGCTGGACGTCGCGCTGCTGTTTGCCGTCGCCCTCTACGCCTGCTACCGTCTCGGCTCGTGGGCCCTCTCCGTTTGCCGGCGGCGGCGGCAGCGGGCACAGCGTTCGCACGCGGCGCCTGGACAAAGCGCGGCCAACGGGGCGCGTCACACCAACGGCGTCGCCTACACCAACGGAGTCCCGGCCAACGGGGTCTGTGGGTCGGCCTCCTCCTCCTCCTCCTCGTCGCGGTGCAAGAAGGCGGACTAAGGCAGTGGAAGGCCCGCCGGGCGGGGCTTTGCGTCCCGGCAAAGGGCTTAATTTCTTCCCACTCTTGTTGTCGAGCAGGCGGCGCATGGCTATACGCAGTGTAGCCACGGCCGTGGCGAGAGGTGTTACTGGATGTTGTCGTGCCGGCCGCGGAAATATTTTCCAGGTCACCGATGGACTTGGACGGACCCGGCTGAAATGAAGCCCTGGGGCTGTGCGAGCCCTCTGTCACCAGAGTCGGAACGATGTGGTAAATGAAATTGAAGGGCGGGTGTCGGAACGAACGTCGTTCGCTCTGGACTGACCGAGGGTTGTGGAGACCGAGCAGTGAATTAAAGTTAGGTTATCGGAGCGTGATGGGCATTAAGTTGGCTTTTTTTTTAACTAGGCAGACTTCAATTCAGAATGAGCGCACTTGAAATGTTGGTGGCAATTTCATTCTTCCACCGCAGGCCCTCTTCCACCCAGCAGTAGTCATGAGCACGCAACGATACCACTTTTTGTGGGGTAAATTATAGGTAACTATTATCATCTACAACTCCTCCTGCCAGCGAGTGCGAAAGCATTTCTCCAGTAATAATAATGTCGTATTCTTCGTATTGTAAGACGCACACCCAACTCTTGTTTTTAATATTCGGGTGAAATGCACGCATCTTATAACCTAGAGCAGGGGTGGCGAACCTTTTTTTCTTACAAGGGCCATTTGGATATTCATAACATCATTTGCTGGTCACACAAAATTATCAACTTAGCCTGTTATATTTGGTCAAACATTTAATTAATTCACCCCTAATGCGATGGCTGAAACTGCTTCTCTTTGGTGAGGCGTGTGATGTTAGCCGGTATTGATGATGTTGCTACTCGCAACTGCTTTTCCAGGTTTGCTCCGAGATTTATTGAATTTCGAGTCCCGCCTGCGGTTGCCTTGGCAGGGCCAGAGCAAATGATTTTGCGGGCCTCATACGGCCCGCGGGTCGGACGTTCCCCACCCCTGATCTAGAAGATACGGTTTGAATGCCCTTTAATGAACGAGGAAAGTCTTGCTCAGTCTCTTTTTCAGCTGGGTCCTACTTTAGGATGTTTGGCCAATTTCATCATTCAGCGTTTAGCATTCATTTGACTTTGTTGTGTGGAATCACTCAAGGCACCCGGCAGGGACAGATGAGCAATTTGTATTATAAATTTACATAATTATTTGAATTGGTTTTTTTTAAACGTGTCACATTCGGGTGCATGTACTGCTCGAATGCAACATTTCCAAGAGACGTGGTGTGGAAAACGAACTTCTATTTCAGATTCTTACCACAATACTTTACAAAAATATCACCTATGCAAACCGTGTAAAGTTCGTCATCAAAGACTGATCAACTGACAGTATTAACATCAAAACCATGTGACATCTAAACGTGACGCCTTACAGTGTTGGTTCGATCGCCTTTCACACCTTGTTTACTGCATGGTGATAGTATACACCTGTGATCCAGTGACTTGGGGGGGTTGCTGGAACAAGCATAGATCATTAAGTGTGTGTGTGCCAGTCACCCACCTCCTAGGAGAATGAGGTGGTGCCTGTAGGAGGAGCACATCAAGTATGTTTTGACAGGATGAGGTTTGTAGAGAGGAGGGTTTTTTTATATGTTGACTCACTAATTAGTCATTATACACGATGGGTGGAAAAAACCCGATTTTTTCCAGCGGCAGGCATCGGTTTTTTTAGAACCAGTTAAACCGGATTTCTCCCAATTTCAGATCGGGTTTAATATAAAAGACAATTAAACCCGATTGTCAAAAACCCGACTGTGCCACCCTTGTTATACACGGCATTTCTTAGGGTATTGCAGGTTCTTCCCGTCACCTGATGAAGCATGTGAATTGTACTGAAAAACATTTAACATTTTAAACTTTGGTGTGATATTGATTTTTAAACAATTACTGTATATCGTGATTCAACTATGTATTTTGAACTTCTTTCGCACCGCACGTAGCCAACCGTGCTAATTGGAAGGTGTGGTCGAAAGGACAACGAATTAATTACTTAATTATAGCTGTCAATGTAACGTTCCCAAAATTGGTGTACGGATGTGACATGCATTCTATTGCACGCCGACTTGATCTAGGAATGTAACGATTCACTACCCACTCCAGTCCTGGGAATTTGACGATTCGGGGTATCTCTTCAGCAATCTATTCTCTCTCTTTTTCAACATCGTGGTGAATGTCGCAGCCGTCCGTGGCTGCAGGAGCCGCGTCAACTCGTGTTGTGATCGTATACGCGTCGACAGCCAAGGGGCCGTCCTTAAATGACGTCACGCACCTGGGGGGGGGGGGGGGTCAGACATTTGTGACGGTGTGTGACGAGGGGGGGGTGGTTTGAGAAATGTGACGTCACATCAAAATGCGCAACTTTAAACAAATATAGACAACACGTTCTACCTAATTAAATAGACTTTTTAATAAATGTTTTCTCCTACAACATCAGAGTGCAGCGCCACATTAAATACGCACTACAATGACATAAGTTTAAAGCTATTTGAATCATGTTTTATTTTTTTTTTGGGGGGGGGGAAGGGGGCAGAGTATTGACATCATATTTGAGGGGGGGGGTGTCTGACTTTTTGTGACGAGGGGGGGGAGGGTAAAAAATCGTCCAAAATCGCGTGACGTCATTTATGGACGGCCCCCAACGATTCGTGCTGTCGCCTAGGTTTTGCGCCCTCCTGCTGTACGGCACTCCGATGCATTCGCCGGTTGTGCGACCGCGCGTTGTTCAGCACGAACCCACGACGCTTCGCCCCACGTGCTGAGAGAAGCTCCCAAACGCATCTCGAGGGCTAGAACAACACGGATTACTCGCGAGAGTGATTCGATACAGGTGCGTGTTTTAAGCATCGGTGTAAATCGATGCTTCGTGTGATGCCTCCAGCTGTAACTCCAAATGGCTCTCGACCACTGTGAATGTTCCCAAGTGTTATGGCCCCCCCCCCTTGGATTATCGTCGCTCCGTCATGAATGCCGGATGTGCCTGCCGCACACGTCGGCATGATATGGAGTCGCCCGTCTCCCATGCAACTCTCTCGCTCGAATACTGTGCGTTTGAATCATGGGTGGAAAAAACCCGATTTTTACAGCAGCAGGCATCGGGTTTTTTTTAATAGAACCAATTAAACCGAATTTCTCCCAATCTCAGATTATCTGGTTTAATATAAAAGACAATTAACTGTGCCACCCTTGGTTTGAATGCACAAAAAGCAATGATCGTTTTAGCCACACTCCTGAATTTCTTGAGTATTGCATGGGTCGGTTATAAAGCACAGTGTGGAATTATCTCGTGGGTTTTTTGTACTTGTATCGCACATTGTAGACCTGCATACCGAATGCATTTATCACTGGAAACGCCACCGAACCTGTACTGCAGCATTGGTGAACTGGGGCAGTTTCCCAGAATGGGGGGCGGGGGGGGCGAGGTGGTGGGTGGGGCAGTAAAAGGGGAAATTTTCCCCAAGCCTCACAACAAACCTGGATGATTTCCTCCGTTCGTGAAGACAAATCCTCTGTCAGTCTGCAACAAAAAAAACCCGATTTACAATCATCGCAAGTTAAATATCACTTTGCCACCGCCGTCACTGTCCATTTAACAATAAGCAACGCTTTGTAACTGGAACGTGAAATAGAGAGGTCCGCTTTTAGGACGAGGGTGGAAAACCCTCATCCTCAACTGAACTCGCTAAATACGACAAATACACGCGGACACTTGCAAGAGGCCCTCGCAGCTACAGACGGGGACTGCACACGTAAAACTACCAAATTTAAATTGCCAGGTCGAACGATATTTCAATCTCCCCCTCCACCACCCTCTCTCTAATACCCGCTTTAGGGTGGTGTCTAAGACGGTTGCAGTGGATGGATAAGTGTTTGCTAGCAGTTCTGCAGTGGTACGCCTGATTTAGACACTAGCCATATGAAATGAAACGTCAGGCTCTATATTACAGTGATACCCAGATTTACCGTTAATGTCGTTTCGCAAATACGTTGTCTTTGTATTAATAGCACTACCTGATTTGAACCCACACTCACGTCGCTGACAGAATCATCCGTCCTGTGTCTTGCCCGTCGCCTCCCAGCCATCGCCTCCACCACCCCACTACTATCCTGTAAGTCGCTTCTTTGATTGATGTTTCGATATTCGTTGTCGCACCTTTCAGGAACGCATCCCCGATGTTAACCGGGGTTGCTACTCTATCTGCAGGCCATACACATCTCCCCCTTGGTCTATGGTAACCATCCTCGAGTTTAATAAGTGTTTGTTATTCATGTCAGTTGATAGCACAAAGCAAACACCACAAGAGAATTTAACTCCCAGAGCGTTGTCTCGCGTTGATGCAAATGTTTTAAGGTCATGTTAGAATTTGTTTCAGGTGTGTGGTGGGGGTTTCTATTTAGTGATAGCTGTGTTTAAAACAATAAAGTATATATGTTTTTTAAAAATGTATTTAAGAAATGTAAAGCAAACAACGTTTCAATCTGATGCTATTTTAAAGTGATTGTAAAATGTTCCAATATTGGCTAGATGTGTTCACATTTTTTATCCTCTTTTACCAATTGAATACAACAAAAGCGCTCGCTCTCTCACCGTGAAGATGACGATCAGGTTAAAAATGCCACATTTTATCTTTTGAGTTTTTTCCACTTTTTCCTTAATTCCTCAAACATACTTTGCTTTTAAAGTGTGCAATGATGGCTGACAAACTATTTCGGTCGGTCGGTAAAACCTAACCATGCCTGAGTACACATTTACGAAGACACATTTCTGGTTTTTAGCTGTGGCCTGTTGTAAATGTGGTGTTATGTGTCAGCTCCATATCGCTGTGGCGAGAAGGCGCTGTTGTTACAATACAGTACATACATTTTGAGGGTAAGAACTCAAGCAGAATGGACGATAGACAAATTCAAGTCAAATCTATGTTGTTCATCTTGGTTGAGCGTTTAACATTTGTTGACGTTTTTGTTTTGCATTGACTGTGTTGTGCCCCCCCACCCCTTAAACAAGGTCACAGTGCAGGGCTTTTATCAGCTCGTGCCACTGGCACTGCAAAGCCTACACCTGTGAAACCATGCCACGGAGTCTTTAAATGTCCCCACTACTCTACAGGGTGGTCCAGGTGTCTTGTTATTTTATTCTCTAAAGCGCCATTGCTGTATGACCAATGGGTGTGGAAACAAAGAAATGAATGAGTGAAGGGGAAAAAAAGTTAGGGGCCAATTAATTTTGGGGGGGGGGGGGGGGGGGTCACAAGACATCTGGATCACGCTGTATAGCAATGCATCGGTGATTTCCGAGTGGTGTACGAATCGAAGCATTGCGCTTTGTCATTGAAGAGGACTGCGTTTCACCAGTTGAGGCCTCATTTCATGTTTAAATGTAAAGACATTTTTTTCCAGTCCAAAATATTGCATCCATGAACCCAGATGAAATGTTTTACATATTGGTATTACCTGAAATGGCAAAGTTTGAGTTATACCGATACCTTTAAATTGCCACTAAAGTAAATTGCGTGAATCTTATTTAATAAGCACGTAATCACATAATCGTCTTTGTTGTGAGCCCTGTACGGAAATTGGTACCGCCACACATTTTGTCGCCACTTGTGGCACAGAATCCTTCTCGGCCTCACCGCGGACGTTGAAGGCAGATGCTGCTGTGCTGTTTTTACAAAAAGTGCTTTTGCAAATTGTACAAAATGTGACTCGAAATAAATAAAGTCGGATACGGAATGTCAAAGACGGTGCTTTGTTGGAATCGCGCAGTAATTTACTTTGGATAGTCCACGGGAAAAGAAATACATTAAAAGAGTGAGACCATATTACCAGCAGTGAGGGTTGGGGATTGTGGTTTGTGGTTTTTTCTGTATTAAGTGGGGGAGCGGTAGTGTAGCGGTTAGCGTGCTGCGCTACAAACCCGGCAACCCGAGTTCGATTTCTGTTCGGGGCCACCAACACCAGGTGACGATTATCTGAACCGGTCCTGGGCTTCCCCTAGGTCGACTCGGCCTCAAATGAGTACCTGGTGCGATGTGTAAACATTGCCACTGGGGAGACAAAGGCGGCCGGGCGTGGTGCTGGCCACCCACCCCCTCGTGCCGACCTTCAAAGGCGCTCGCTAACAGCACTTGCCCCACAGTCTGAGGCTACACGGGGGATCTTTGTAACACATTCCTGCGGAGGGAGCTGGGAGAAACGTTGGGTTGCTCGGTCAATGGCCAGGGTCAACGACGGCGTGGTGTATTCCGCAAATATTCCCGACTGTGAGGGCGGGCACAAGCCGGCGTGAGTAGGTTAAACGTTGAGTTTTATAAGGGCACCACGGGGTGACCAGCCCCTCCCCACCCAGCCCTCCCCACCCACCCAGCCCCACCCCTCCCATTTTTGGATGCACGACGGACGGACGGACACAAGAATCCCCTGTGGGCTGGTGGAACAAGGAGGTTCCTACCAGTATAAAGGGAAGAAGGGTTGTGGAGAGTAGCAGGGGGGAGGAAATGCGTTCCTGGACGTATATCGACACGACGCAAATCAAGACGATTGACAGGGTAGATGGAAGCGAGGGCTGATTCGACGGATACAAGAATGGACGGATGCTGTCGGCGACGTCCGTGTGGGTTGAGGCAACGGCAAGCGGGTCGTGGCATTGATAAGGTGACGATGTATTTGCGAATCAACGTTAAAAGCGTGCTACGTGCATGGACGCATACTGTGTTGGTCATCAGACGGCTGTGAAAAGCCACCTGTGATTTCGAATGGATTCCGTCTTCTTTTGGGGGTGAATTCAAATTAATTTGTAAATAAATAAATAAAAACGTTCATCATTGCCCGAGGACAGGGGCGCCCAAATTAACAAGAAGAGCCATTTGTTTCGAATTCCGTAAACCAAGACTCAATATTTTTCGAGCCGCAATGAACCCGAGCACGAGACGGCGCTCCTGATTAAATAGCGTCACGGAGGGGCTCTTTGGAGAGCCGCAAGCGGCTGCACTGCAGCAGTAAACTGGCGTGTCAGGCGATGATCTTCCTGCAATGCTCCCTTTGTAGCTTGTCAGACACAGCTCCGCTGTTGCGTCATTGCTTGCTGACAGCACCGGCACGGTGACCTGGTCGTCTCGTGCACCGCATCAAGGCGCGGCCTCCGCATGTTGGCAGTGTCCGACCCATCTACGCGTGTCACCTACCGGTGTCGATCTTGATTTTGAAGCTTTCGTGACTGCAGCAATCCATACTCGCTGGTTCTTTTCGGTAAAGTCACGTGGGTAGAAAAAAAACAATAATCAAAAGAACACGACGTTTCTGTCGCAACACAAGCGTCCGTCAACGACTTGTCGGTTCGTGTTCACGGCTTGCCTCTCACACGCAACCAGTTCTGCAGCCGTAGACGCTCCCAGTTTATTCGCACGGGCAACACATTCCTGCGGAGGGAGCTGGTAGGAACGTTGGGTTGCTCGGTCAATGGCCAGGGTCAACGGCGGCGTGGTGTATTCCGCAAATATGCCCGACTGTGAGGGCGGGCACAAGCCGGCGTGAGTAGGTTAAACGTTGAGTTATATAAGGGCACCACGGGGTGACCAGCCCCTCCCCACCCAGCCCCACCCCTCCCCTCCCTCCCCACCCAGCCCCTCCCCACCCTCCCCTCCCAGCCCCACCCTCCGCACCCAGCCCCTCCCCACCCTCCCCACCCAGCCCCTCCCTCCACGACGGACGGACGGACACAATAATCCCCTGTGGGCTGGTGTAACCAGGAGGTTCCTACCAGTAAAAGGGTTTATTCTAGATTTGAAGCTTTCGTGACTGCAAGGATTCATACTCTTAGGTTTTTCGGTAAAGTCACGTAAATCTAGCTGACGGTCCCACCTGATGACGGAGACTTGTGTTGCCTCCGAAACGTCATTTATTATTTTATTTCTATTATTATTTCAATTATTACTTTATCATTTATTTTTTACCTACGTGACTTTACCGAAAAACCTAAGAGTATAAAAAAGGTTTATATTTTGACCCAAGTCGCCACGTGTGTGCGCGTGCGCTTTGGTAAGAATTACAAAGTGTGGACTTTCGTGTTGAGATCTTTGAAACGTTCTCAAATCGTGCGCACGTCATGAGTTTTGATTGGGGCTCGCTTAATATTTTAGACAGTTTGAAGGTTGGCTTTGTGTGTTTTGTTAAACTTTAAACAATAGGAAATCTAGTTGGGTTTGTTTCTAGAGAAAGAAAAAAAGTCGACGCAGGAGATTTATTTCTATTGTTAAGAAGATTAGACGTCACGTGCATGCAAAAAGATGTGTTTTATTTTAAAGTTTCACTATTTTAAGCACAGTTGAAGAGCACTAAGACACGTTTTATTGTGAAGAGGGAGATTATTACGTGGTCCGAATAGGGTATGCTTTAATAAGCACACCAGTATCCAAAATTAGAGGTCAATTAAAGCCATTTAAATACTTTGTTCAGTTATAATCTACGCAATGGTATAGAAACACATTAAAGTACGTTCACAATGCACACTGTCGCACTGGTGTTTAATTTAATAATTGTAATGGCTTTGGATTGTTTCAGTTTAATCTGGCTACTCAAGAATTTGTAAACAACAGCGATATCACATAATCATACATCTACATAATATTAAATGTCATATCATAACCATCAAGTGAATACAGTACCTGCACACTGCATCATTGTGCGTGTACGAGGTACGTGGGCGCATATCTAGCGCGATTGTGTGTTTGTATGTATGTGTGTGTGAGTGGGGAGCGGTGGTGCAGCGGTTAGCGCGCTGCGCTATGAACCCGGCGACACGAGTTCGATTCCCGCTCACGGCCAACACCAGTGACGATTATCTGAACCGGTCCCGGGCCTCCCCTAGGTCGACTCAGCCTCAAATGAGTACCTGGTGCGGTGTGTAAATATTGTCACTAGGGAGACAAAGGCGGTCGGGGGTGGTGCTGGCCACCCACCCCCTCGTGTACCGTTCCGGCCTTCATAGGTGCTCGCTAACAGCACTTGCCCCAACAGTCTGTTAAAGGCTATACGGGGGTTCTTTGTTCTTTTTTTTTGTGGTCGGGTGTGTCATTGTGTGGTTGGGTGTTTGCGTTTGCTGCCGATCCGGTGAAACGGGATCTGTTGATCCCTTGAAGCGTCTCGTCTCTCAGCGCTCGGCTGCAGTGGCTCTCACAGTTCCTTTGGCCGAGGACGAGCAGCTGAACTTGTCGCAGTCACGTGTGCATAATGGATGAACTCAATTCTCACTCTCCACGTCAATGCCTCCTACTCCTCGCAGCAACAGACCAACCCGCAGGACTTTCCTAACATTACAACTCAAGACATGCATCGACAAGATTGTCGCCAAATAAATAACAGGCGAAAACTGAATCGGCCAATGAACTTTCATTCAAAAAAAGGTTAAGGGTTAATTGCGAGTTTTTCTTGTGCACAACTGCCAACGCAGCATCGCCAAGTACTTTGTGTTTTATCAACATCAGCCAAATGCTAAGGGCTTGCGCTTCTAGGGTGCTTAAAATCCTCGACAACTAAAATCGCATTACATCACATATCATCCTAACCACGTTAATGCCCTGCTGTAGTCGAGCTGAGGAGATGCCGAGTGGCAGCAGTCCTTGTGTGACACGAGGTGAACTCGGCACCTTCCTGAAAATTGTCATCTGTCTGCCAGCATGGGGGCAATATTGCCATGTCTTTTCCCAATTGATTAACTTGTGAATGTGAGTACTTTATAATTTTTGTACCAAAGCCAACATCGATGATAAAATGTCTCCGCTGAAATGAGCATGAAGGCCGAGCTCATATTCATTGGTGGTCCTCAGTCGCAAAAATTCCACGTTACCTATGGCAACAGCTCGTTTGATATACATGAATACACGTATCATTCATGCAGGGCCACTTGCATACATAATGCTTACCATTTACCACCTGTCCTCGTTTTCCCAGTCAACCTCTTTATGATGTAATTGTCCTTGGAAATGTGTAAGTCTTCCATTCCAAGTTATTGTTAGTTGTGCAGTAATAGCCCACTCAAGACCATGCATTTCCATGGTTGTTCTCTCCTCTCTAGTATTGTGAAACACATTCCTGCGGAGGGAGCTGGTAGGAACGTTGGGTTGCTCGGTCAATGGCCGGGGTCAATGGCGTCGTGGTGTATTCCGCAAATATGCCCGACTGTGAGGGCGGGCACAAGCCGGCGTGAGTAGGTTAAACGTTTAGTTTTATAAGGGCACCACGGGGTGACCAGCTCTTCCCTACCCAGCCCCTCACCACCCTCCCCACCCAGCCTCTCCCCACCCTCCCCACCCAGCCCCTCACCTCCCCACCCAGCCCCTCCCTGCACGACGGACGGACACAATAATCCCTTGTGGGCTGGTGTAACCTGGCGGTTCCGACCAGTAATATTCTTCTCCCCATTATATGTTCCAGTTTTTTGTACCACGAAGTGGGAACCCTAATGCATACGTGGCATGCACATTCCTAGCATAGCAGGTTTAAGCAGTTCATTGTGCAGCTGTCTAAGCAAGACGTGTGTGCATGCACTCCGAGCTTTTTCGTGTTCAATGAAAGAGGATCCTTGCCCCGACTCTCTGCCTGTGTGCGAGTGTAATCAAGAAATCCGCCCCCCCCCGGCAACACAAAAAACCCCGCCAGTCAGCCCTGGTAACCCGAGCTCTGGGAAGGCATTGCAAGTTTAAATCGAACAAGCAGCATGCGTGTGATATGCCCGTGCATAAT